GTGGCAAGTGATTCCTGTTTAGATTAGGACAGGCTGTGAAATCAGAATATGATCCCAAGGTGACAGTTGTTGCTGTGCTATACCTCTGGTGGGCCATTAGATAACGTCATACACTAAGAGACAGAAGCTATATCCCTCTTTGTAGTCCCATAGCCCAAATGCAGGCAGCTACCTGGCTAGCATCTCTGCCCATAGGCCCAGGTGAAGGATGCCTTTCTGGTAGCTTGGCCCGACTATCCATCCCTCCATTTGACACATCATTTTCATTGACCAACTAGCAGGAGGTGGCCATCTCTTAGCTGGTAAGGAGGCAGCAGAAACAGGCCAACTTGAGATGTGCTAACTAGCCCTTGACAATGCACAGGAACTTCAGGGGCAGGTCTCTAGGTGTGATGGAGAGTTTGCTGCCATAAAATCTGTCTGGGATGCAGGGTATGGCTTGAATGAAGAACTTGTTTCCTCTCCTCTGGCTTGTTTTCCACTCCTGGGTGCCCACACCCTTCTTGGTTTCTCAATTTCCCTTCAAAGGCAAACCCACCGACCACAGATCACAGGCGTGCTACTGTGGAACAAATCACAAGATTGCATTTTAGTGACTGGGGGTCCCTCCTGAACCCAGAATTTTATTAGCATTCAGCAAAAGAAATATATGTCGTAACATACAGGCAGTGCTTCAAGATATCCAGATGTCAAGGAGAGCTAGGAGTGGTCACAGCTCAGGTTATTCTGTGATGCCTCAGAGATGGGGAAGGAGCCATTCAGGCATACACTTCCCATTATATACTGGGAGAGAAAGAACTCTTATACCTGGAGTGAGGACATACTGCAGTTCCTAATTTCTTCCCTCCTTCCCCCAGTCATTTTATTTAACATGACCTAAATATACATTCCTGTATTCTGACCCCCCACCCACCCCCGTATACAGCAGGGAAAGTAAGCACCAAATAGTAACAAGAATAATAATTAAAGACCCGCCTATTAATAGACCCAACCCTCACACATATACATGCCATGTGGATTTTCTACTTTAGTGACTCTAGGATGGAAAAGTCGGGGATCAGGCCAGCAAGCCATCACCCTGACAGTCACTGGTCCTCAAAGTACCGTCCACATGTGAGTTGGAGCAGGGTGGGGGAGGGGAATGGTAGGAGGAGAGATTCCCCCAAAGCAGCAAGAAGGGTAAAGAAGTTCCCCAAAGTCTCTTTTGGGCAAATGTCACAATCTACTGAGCTTCTAGAAAGTCCTATGCAAGGGTTTCCTCAACGAGATGATTAATTCCTGATGGTGTGCACATCATTGCCATTTGTCTCCCCCAGTTTCTTGAGGAAAGAAGGTGTGGTTTAAATCCCTTGCCTTCCCTACTGGATGGAGAATGTTCCCAAAATGCTCCTTTGGAGAAACTCGATATGACAAATAGCACAACATGGGCACTCTGGTTTCAAAACAGAAGCACAAAACATAAGGAGGGGAAAAAAAAGTAAAAACAAGAGACATGAGTGCTCTCAGGTCTACATATGGGGGAGAAAGGGTCAAAAAGAAAAACACAGAGCCAGAAAACAACACACTGTCTACCAGGTTCCACACACCTGATTCACCTGGCATTTTTCTTAGATACCTGGACATCTTTCATTGTTCCTATCATGAGGGGAGGGAACGAACAGTGCGATACAGCAAGGGTGGGGAAAAAGGAGAGAGGGAGGGCCATAGGCAGTTGAGATGCCAGCCCTCTGCACAAGCAGCAGCGATTTTTGTGTCATCTTTGTTTTGTTTAAAACTGTAAACAGCACCGCTTAAAAATAAAATATATCAGAAAAGAACAATTGATAAACATTGTTTTCCATGAATATAAAATGCAAACAATACAAAAATAGATAATTGACTTTTGATATATATATATTAAAAACAATTGGATGCAACATACATATGGGTAAATTTAAAGTCTCCCAGCTAACCTCCCCACGCTTCCCTCTAGCAACTGGGCCTGGGGGCCGAGGGCAGGTGGGGTGGTGGTACAGGTGGAAAAGCCATTGGCAGTAGGATGAGAGCACACAACCAGCCTTCTGAGTGTGGAAAGCTACCTCCCTCCTTGATACAGCACTGAGGGAGTGAGAGAGACTGGTGTTTACTGAAGCCTTTATCCTGGGAGGCTTGTGGCATTGGTACCTAAGTTAAAGCCAGATGGGCAGGGCTGGCTCTAACTGGGCACCAAGGCAGTACTTCCTTGGAGACTCTAAAGCACCAAGAAATTGGTATCCTGGCCCTGGGAGAGGCCTGCTAGATGGCCTTCCCTATCCACATTCATTGATCCCCCAGGGACCAGTTTCATTTGAGATTCTCAGGATCAGAACTATCTGACAGTAGACAGGCCTACTGGGTATCAAGATGAGGGTGGCTACCCCTTCTCTAGTCACATCTTCCTTTGAAGTCACATCCTAAAGTATTATCCCAGGATCCTGCAATGGAGAAATGGTGTTCATCTGGTCATAGCATAGGAGGTGTGGACATGATATCTGGTGCATATTTGGTGCGAGCCAAGCAAGCACTAGCCTGTGTTTGGGGAGAGGCCGAGAACTTGGTTGGTTTTCCCATTGTCAACCTGAGCTGCCATCACCCAAAACCCTAGTGAAGTCCTCCTTCCTCCTCAAGGTTGCACCTTACAATTAGCCATGAATTCCTCAGCTCCATCAACTCAAAGGGGCCTGCTTCTGCAGCCATGTATCCTGACTGCCCCACTTTTGGTGGTGAGGATTTTGTCCCAGGGCTAGCCGGGGCAGTGAAGGGACTTGCAGGCACGCAACACCGTCTTAAACCATGAACTCCTACTCACTCCAGGTACTATTCTGTGGTTCATGACCTTCTAAAGCCCAGCAAAGTGTGTCAGGGCTATGGCCACTCCCCTTAAAGGCAGCACATCCTGCTGCACTCCCAAACCTGAGGGCAGCTCTCAGCCCTTGGCCAAAGGCTGGCCACATCCTTTTCCTCTCCCCAGATTAGGCTGGTGGCTCTTTTCCAGCGTGCTATGGACACTGATGATAGCTCTACTGCCTGCTGCGGCTGGCACAGTCCATATGCAGACAGGAGCTCAAGCTGCCCTGAAGGATGAGGCAAGAGGTGGGTTTTCTCCTGTCGTAAAGGCATTTGGTGAGTGTTAACTTCCTGCCAAATAGCTAGGCCGATTTCATCCTTACCCTTTCAGAGCAGCTTTGCTAAGAGGCCTGATGGTGAAAATCTGGGCACTTCTTTCTTAGAATGCTGTGCTTAGGGTGAGGGTCTTCCTCACCCTCTTCCATTCTCCAGCTCCATGGCAGATAGATTTCTTCATAATGTAGCCAAAATTAGAGTGGAGAGCTGGTCTGGGTCCCTTGAGAGGTGGTGTTGGTGCCATGCAAACACATGTGGTACTTCCAGGTGTAGCTTTTAGCAGCAGGTATGCCTGTTTTAGGGAGGGACATGGGGCCAACCCCAATCAGAAATGGTCGCAAAGACCAGCCTGGATACAACCCCTGACTAAGGAACAATTTGCCCACAAAGTCACCTTGACTCAGGGGGTCAACAGCATCTGTTCCCAAGCTAAATTGCTATATCTTAAGAATGGCTCAAGCCCTGTTGACTTCTCTTTCCAGGCATGAAGATGGCTGGGGGATGTGGTGGGGTGAGGGGCAGAAGAGGTAAGAATCATAATTTGGGTCACCATATCCAGGCAAAAACATACTCCATATGCCATTTCCAATAAAGAATTTTAGAGAACCCCTCTTATAGCTGATTAAGAGAGGTTGAGCCTCACAAGATAAGCCTATTGCAATCCCTTCTTAACAGAAGTTCTTCGCCAGCAGTATTTCCAACCTAGTTTAATATAAAAATTGCATGGGCGCAGGAAATGGGAGGATGCCACTCATTTCATAAAGGGCTGCAAATGCCAGGCAAATCAGAGTCCTGCAGCTTGCAGAGTGAGGGCACGTCAGTCTTTCCTCTCAAGAAGCCTGCTCCTTTGATGATGCTAAGGACTTGGCTAATTTGAAGATGAAAGCTCTTCAGAGCCTGGAACAGCAGCTGAGATGCCTTTGGTATCCTGTCTTGGGAGTGCAAGCCTGGGGCCTCTTTACAGCATCCAAACGAAGGGGTAGGCAAGGCTTAAAGAACGTTTTGGTTTGGGGAGAAAAGTGGGAAGTAGTTTTCCCTGCTAAAAAAGCATAGTTGCTTCAAGCTCCACAGTCTGAAGTTTAATTCCTTGCTGGCTGGGACAAACGGATTTCTTCTTTTCTCTCTCTCTCTCTTTCTCCTGCATCCCACAAAACCCCAAGCCCTATAGCCAAGCCTAATATAGGTTGCTTCTCTTCCCTTATCTCAATTAAAAGACCATGTTCCTTGCAATGAGATTACAAAAACTTCCTTTAGAAGATAAAATGAAAATTCAAAAGTGTCTGCAACTCAAGCAGTCACAGGCTCAAGAGAAGAAAAAAAAAACTGCTATTATTCCAGAGCTCAAGACTCTATGGCAGTGTCCATGAAAGAACTTTGCTTTGTCCTCTGCTCACATGTGGGAAAATTAGTCAGCCTATTACAGGTTTTAGTGTTTTTCTTCAAATTATGGCAGGCCAAGTTAAAAGGCCACCATGTGATCATGATGCCAAAGTCCACAGCAATATGCAGTGAGACATATGCTACTTGATCCTCTCTAAGGACAGCTAGCTGGGACAAATAGCTTATAGTCATTTGATGTAATGGTGGCAGCTATGCCAAGGCTGAAAGGAAATGGGGTAGGGAGGATCTGTACCATAACTTCACATTGCTATCAGCAAATAAGCCCTCCCCAATCCCTGTCTCTGCATGAGAAGCAGTACAGACTTGGCTACTCATCAGTGGCTCATTAATTACTAGGGGGAGAGAATAGGGGGATGCTAAGGGTATAGCCTGCATTGAGGATGCATCATTCATTCATATATATATATATATATATATATATATATATATATATATATATATATATAAATAATCACAAACTTGGCAACTGGAATAGGCACAAAATTATAGCATCCCAAAAATCTGTGTGGGTCACAAGAAGGAACCCCAAAAGCAGAAACTGGAGCACAGAAAGAAGCAGCAGCCTCCCTGGGCAGATGTACTTGAGCTGAATGTGGCCATAGATGGCAGAGAAGGAAGGGGGAAAAATGGTGAAACTCAGGGAGTTTTCCTTGGCCAAAAGGATTTTCAAGTTAAACAGCAACCCCCACCCCCACCCTTCTGCCCAACCCCTGATCCCCATTCACATGCTCAGGCCCCATGCCCCTACTCCAGAAATGATGATGACTACTTGGCTAAATTTCCATTCACGGCAGTGGATGAACAGCTGGTGGGTAAAGAGGCACCTTGCTTGGACCTCTCCTTTGACAGATCAAGGCTAGAAGCTCCGTAGTGACTGGGCTGAGGCTGGGAGGGCTCAGGTCGAGCCCTAGGAAGCTGAGGAATGCCATGGGTGATGCCCACAGGCTTGGTCTGGGGCAGAGAGCTGGGAATGAAACCTCCAGAATTGGAGGAGCAACTGGGCTCATCAGCAGGCAGCAGCACATCTCGAGGCCTGGCCCTCACACTGTGGGGGTCTTGTGGCTGGAGATTATAGCAAGGGCCCATGGGCAGAGGTAAGTGTGAAGGCCGAGCTAGCTGAGGCCCAGGTTCCCCGGGTGCTCTTGGCTCTGGTTCTGGCCCTAGCCCTGATGACATTGAAATGGCCACAGGAGGTATACAACAGGTTGCCTGCCCATATGGAGACTGGCTGGAAGACCCATCCAACTGGCTGGGGCTCATCCAGGCAGGGCCTGGTCCCACTGGTAGAGGACAGGGAGCCCAGGCAGGCCAGTCATAGGCCCCTGGGGGTTCAGTATAGAGGGACAAGGGACTGTCTCGGCCCCATTCTCCTTCTTCATCCTCTTCGTCTTCATCTGAATCTTCCTGCTGGGCCTGAAGCTCATCAGATTCCAGGTAGCCCTGGGCCAAATGAGAATTGGAGAGCTCCAGTTCCAAGGTCTCTGCAGTGTCAAGGGAGCGGCTCCTCCTGTTGAGTGCTATGGCAGCAGGTGGAGGGCGAGGGTGCATCCCAGGTAGTCCCAAGTATCGAGGGAGGCTGCTTACACCCCAGGGCAGACCTTGGTAGAATCTGCTTCGGTAGTTGTTGAAGGCATGCTTGTGGTAGTAGCCCAGTTCGAAAGCTTCCAAGGAGGCTGCAAGGTCTTCATCATTGTGGAACTCAGGATTCTCTTCACACTTGCCTTCCCCTTCTCGTTCTACATCAGCGATGTCGAAGGTCACCATGGGGGGCAGCTCAGGGAGGTTTTGAGTGAAGGACGAGTCAGAGTCAGAGCTGCAGGACATACTGGAGAAAAGGTTTCCATTGCTGGTGAACTCTACCAGAGCCTGCGAGAAGCTTACAGTGGCGTTTCCTTCCTTCTCAACCTCTTCTTCCTCTGGCTCCTCAGGAGGTGAGTAAGTAGGGTAGGCCCTCCTTGGAGATCCTCCAAAATTTGCTTCTTTCATATCTGGTTCAAACATGGCATCACTCTGGAAGAGCTGCATTAGACAAGTACTTTGATCTTTCTTAGAACAGGTTCCCTCAAAACGCTTCTCCAGAGGACGGAAATCCCTCCAGTCTGGCTCACTGCTTGCAGTGGTAGGGAAAGCTGAGGTGGTTCCCCGGTGGGAATTTTGAGAGGTTCCTGATGCCCCTGCTACCAGACCCATCACTGATGGGCCTAAAGGCCTCATCTGATACTCCAAGATGGGCTTCTCCTGCCGAGCCTTGGTCTCTCGCACCTGAGCCTCTCTAACACGTACCTCTCGGGCCTGAGCTTCTCGGGTTCTGGCTTCCCTGACATGAGCTTCCCGACTGTGGGCCTCTTGGACATAGGCCTCCCTGGCATGAGGCTCTCTGGTATAGGATTCCCTGGTATGAGCCTCCCTTGCATGAGCCTCTCGAGCACGTGCCTCCCGGGCCTCAAGCTGCTCCCGACGAAGTTCCCAATACAACAACTGCTTCTGGATGGTCACTAGCCGTTCTTCTTCTGTCTCCATTGCCCCAGGTGGCCGGGGGGAAGAAAAGGGCTCAAAGTTCAAGAAGGGGTCAAATATCTCAGTGCTGCGACCATGGAGGTCATAAAGACAGTCATCTGCAGGTGGGGAGTTTTCAAGACTGTCATCTGGCTCATAGAATTCATATAGTGCATCTCCACTATAGCTGTCTCTGGGGAGGCAATCCCTGCGGATAAGCCCTAGGGCCTCACCTGAATCATCCTCAAATCCAGGAGTGGTGGAGTCATAATAACCTTCATCACTATTGGGGGCAGACTCTTGCTGGTCACTCTGAGGAGTCAAAAGTTCCCCAGGGCCTAGGCCAGGATAAGACCGAACTGGGTCAAGGAGCACATAGCCCTGGTGGCCTGGAGATGTAGTGGGATGGTAGCTTAGGTTCAGATTAGGCCTTGGGTACATTTGGGCACTTGCCCACAGATATTCTAAGTCATCTTCTTCCTCTTCCTTGACCTCCTCTTCTTCCTCCTCTAATTCCACCTCCTCATCCTCCTCCTCTTCCTCATCATCATCATCTGGCAAGGCCATCTCCTCCCCACCTCCTTGGTAAGTCACCAGGCAGGAACTTCGTTTGGTACCATCTCGGTTGGCCCTCTGGCCCCCAGAGGCCATGCTATCTGTCATACTATCCATGTCCTGTTCTGCTATAATATCACCACAACCTGTCAGTGAGTCAAAGCTTTTCAGGGATGTAACATCTCCAAACAAGAGGCTCAGCTGATCTCCCACAGGGCCATTGGGTGGATTTACTTCTCCTGCCACCATCTTCTCCCCTGTTTCCAGGCTGTGGTGTTCATCTATGTTACTGGCTTCAGGGTCTGGCTTAGGCTGCAAGAGTACTGAGGCACAGATCCCAGTACTGGGTTTTTCTGGATTTTTACAGGCTGTATTCTCAGTATTTGGTGAAGAAGACTCTGGTGCTAGAGAAATTATTGGCCCTGGGGTATCATGAGGTTTGGCATTATCCTTTCTAGGGTGTTGGGTAGTCTCCTCAGAGAAGGGCAGAGGGGCTGAGCTTGCATATTCATGAGACATTGCTCTGCCCCGTTCAGGTTCCTTGGCTCCTGGCTCACTTTGTTCGCCCCCAGCAACCTTGCTCTTTCGGTGACGGCGGATACTACTAAAAAAGCCTTTTAGGCCTTTCTTTGGCTTGGGCACAGAGGGAACCCTCTCAGCCCCTGTTTTTTCAATGGTTCCAGTCACAGGGGTCTTCTGTCTGGAGCCTGTCTCCAAAGCCCCATGGGCACTCTGGGAGCTGGGAACTTGGCAGGGTGACTCAGGCAAAGGTAAGGAGATGCCAGTTCCTTCACTGACAATGTCTTCAGGGTCACGGTCTGCTTCACTCAGGCCATCATGGGTCTTGCTCTTGCTTAGACCCTTCTTGGAGCTGCTTTTCCCAAAACCTTTGTTTCGTCCCCCTCCAAAGAAACTAGGCAGAGTACAGATTCCCTTCTTGCCACCAAAAAGTTTCATGGCAGTTTTCTTCAGCCTACCTGGGCCAGATGAGGGTGGCTCTGAGGTTGGCCCTTCTGTTGCTTCAGCTGCCTTGTTCTTGGCTCCTTTCTCTGCTTCCTGGTCCTGGATATCTCCAGAGGATGCTGCTCTCTTGGTCTGAGCAGCTTCATCCTTCCGGGTCTCCATGGTGATGTGGACAATTCAGGTATGTTTAGCTGGAAATGCAGTCTTAGGCTTCCAGGTGCTGTTATAACATCATCAGTCTGGAAGCATCACAGTGGGATCTGGAAGAAATGAGAGACAAAGAGAGAGAGAGAGAGAGACTGGTGAGCAAGCACCCAGGCTGGTTTTGTTTTCACAGGTGTCTATAGTCTCAGGCTTGAATGGAACCAGAAAGAAAGGGAAAATGTGGGGAAAACGTTAATCCACTCCATATGCTTGGTTGACTGGGCCAGCCCCCTCATGGGCCCCAAGGAAGTGAAACCCTATACTGAGCAACAGGCAGTTGTCACCAGGTACCCCCTTATTAGTCCACTCCCTTCAGACCTTAAACTCAGGGGAGCACTGAAGAAGGAGATCTGCAGATGTGTGCAAGGCCCAGAAGTGCTATAGGCTTAGGGAGAATACTGATTTGGCTCTAACAGCACAAAATTTTGGAAACACATCTAGCATAACAGTTCACTGAGTCCTCACTGGGTTTTACTGGATCTAGGCCACAATCTTACATTAGCCTAGGCTCTCATGGACATTTTGCCTGGAGTTAGGAAGAAAAGCAGACCAACAATTTCACCTCCTATCCATGTGCTCTGTAAATTGCCCCAGAACCATGCTCAGACCTTCAGACCCCTGAAAAGGAGCTTCACAGACTGGCAGATCAGGGCTGCAACACAGGACCCACTAAGATGATGTGATGGGCCCAGGAAAGGCACTCTCTGGGCTACCCCCCTCATATACATTATGTGAGGGGTGGACCTAGGCCAGACACTCTATTAGCTGTCCTGCTGGGAAGAGATTTTATTATTGCCCTCTGACAACTGGAACCCAGATTCCACTTGAGAACCAAGAGGCAGATGGTCTCCTCCTCTCATTATTTTTGACCAACCCTAACTCCCTATCTAGGAAGGGAACTCCTTGAATGCACAGCATTATATGATTCCTGCTCCTGGCCTAAGAGATAGACTCTCAACAGTTTTTTAAGCAAGTAAACCTGATACAAGCCACCCTTCTGGTCCAGGCTCCAAAACCTCAAAAAACCCAAGTACCAATAGAAGGGGAATACAAAGGGTTAGGGATGACACACCCCAACACACCTCACCATCCCCTGACTCCATACTAGGTATGGTGTATTTCAGTGACTATAGCCATTTGACTGCTGGATCAGTAATCAGCCTGCAAATATGCAATGATCCCCTCCCTGGAAAATCCCTTGCCAGTGTAACCCCTCTCTGTAGGGAGCCACCAGCAGACAGGGGGATCCAGGGTGAGAGAAGCAGAGGCAGAAACGCTGCTGGGAGTGAGAGAGCAAGAGAAAAACAGACCACTAAAGTCCTGGGAGCAGCTGGCCAGCACACTAGCCCTGTGATTGGTTGCTACAGTAATACGGCACATACTCACCTGCAGTGGTAAATTGTGGACCAGCACTGGAGAAGAGAAGATGGCAACAATACTCTAGCCTCTGGCCTCATTAGAACTCCTAGAATCTTAGGTCCTATCTTCCAAACATTAATTTTGTGCATGGTGCTGTAGTTGGCTTGACACTAGAATCATTAGTTTGAGCAAAGCTTCCATAAAGAGCACTTCACAGAAATTAATATCAAAATTGGAGGAATAAAATGGCTGGTTATCCAGAAAAAGAGGAAAACAAACAAAAAACAAAACCCATCTGATTCCCTTTCTGAAGAGATCCACATTGCCATTTGCTTAGGTTATTACGGTTTTGTCTATGCAAGATTGCTTGACATCACACTGTTCCAAATGGGTCCTCAACCAACAGCCTCATAATAGACAATGTTTCCAACCCCCAGACACAAACCATCATATAAACACACACAATCACCTAGAGTTCTCCACTCTAGGGATTAACAGGAATATGGGACCTATCATCAATTTGAATCCCCCATTTTCCATAGCATATATGTTTTTATTTCAGCCCTAAAATTACTGGAGATGGTGGTGGCAGCAAAGGAGTTGTTTGTGAAATTGTATTCCCTTCTGTGGACTTAGTGAAACAAATAATTCTTGAGCATTCAGTAAGTGACTGGCACTGAGCCCAGTGCTACAGAACAGACCAAAAAGAGGGATCCCTACCTCTTGCTTTTTGGGATTGCCTAGACCAACAGGGAGAGAATCCTATATGTAAGAATCTGAAGACATAAAATGATGCAGGTCTTAAAGAATGACTCTTGTTACTTTTTTTTTAAAACTTTTTGAGACAGGTACAGAACAGTAGAATTTATTCAGAACTTATCTGCAGTTGAAACTATTCCTACAATTTAGGCTTAGAACTAAAAATGAGATTATCTTATCTTGTAAAACCTTTTTTTCATATTTTATTGGTATTTTTTGTACATATTGGTGGAATTTGTTAGACATTTGTACATGCACATAATATAACAATATAATTTACTCAATATCATTCTCCAGCATTTCCTTTCCCTCCCTTACTCACTCCCCTTTGTCCCTTTCCTCTACTCATCTCCCCGCCATGTACATCCACCCTCCACCCTTCTTTTCCTTTTTCCTCTCCACATATGGGAAAAAAAATTATAGGACCCTTTGTAACAGTGGTGTACTTTATGCTTTGAATATAGCCCTTGCTGCTCTGCCACTGAGGCTTATTTTTAAAATGAACACATTTCTTTTTCTTCCTCTCTCCCTTCCCCTTCCTAATCTCAGGGAAACAGGATTACCTTTCTTCCCCATACAAGACACACACCCTTGAGCACACACCCACCACAAGAGCAAAGTTACTTCAAGGATGACCAGTAGATCTAAGAAATGGCTCTCTCCCAAATTAACAGGAGAATTACAATTACTGACACAAAATACATGGAATGTAGCCTTTGAATCACCTCTTCAAAAACCACTTGTTTTCCCTAATGGGCAGAATCACAGCCTCTGGGACAATAGTCCCATGTTTCTCCTTTCTAGCTAGCAAAGCAATAAAACTTCTTTTTCCTTGTTCTCAAAAACCATATATTTGTTATCAGATTGGCATCAGGGACAAAGACCAAGCTGTCCGTAACACCCTGACCTTCTGAGTTTGGCTTATTTTGCTTAATATAATGTTCTCAAGTTCCATCCATTTCCTACAAATGACATAATTTCATTTTTCTTTATTAGCTCTTGTTAGTTCTTAAGGTGGGCAGCAGGATTCTCATTTCTATACCTTGTTAATATACCCATAGATAAATATGAAAAGCAGAAAGATACTCCCTGGGCTCAGAAAAGCTGCCTTGAGGAGGAAGCATTCAGTCTTAGCTTTGACAGGCTGGAGGGAGTGGACATGACAATGAACGAGTGGAAGGTGTAGGTCAGACTAATAAGTGTGGTTGGGCCTCAAGGAAGACTCAAGGGCCAAGTGAAAAAAATTATGGGCCTAGATATCCTTGTGAATCAAAAGCTGACTTGTCCTACCAGGTTTGAGGCTGGAGTTCCTGGGAACAGAGCAAACTGAATCATAAAGAGGACTGCTTTCCAGAACCTTGATGCTCTAGCTGGAGGACAGTCCCTTTGGGCCTTTGCTGACCTTTGACCTTATGCTCACATGCTCCCTAGGGGTAGAAGCTAGCTCTCTAAGGTCCCCCCCCACCCCCAGTTTGTTTGATTTTGTACCAGAGATAGAACCTAGGGGCACTTAACCACTGAATTACATCCTCAGTCTTTTTTATTTTGAGCCAGGGTCTTGCTAAATTACTGAGGCTGGCTTTGAACTTGTGATCCTCCTGCTGTACCCTCCTGATTCACTGGTACTACAGGCACACACCACCACCCTGGATTTGCCACGCCCTTTACATTGTTCCCTTCTCTGTCAGAGGCAACTCAGTGTTGTGAAGGAGCCATGCCACAGGGCTAGAGCTCAAACCTCCAAACCATGCCAGTCTCCCATCTGTGAGGGGACTCTGAATAGGCCAAGGCAGCTCATTGAGCGTCAGGTATCTGTAAGATCAAAATAACTCCTCTACCTATGTCCTTACCTCCCAGATCCAACTGAAGTAGTGTAAGGATCAGAGGCCATGCTGGGCAACAAAAGACACTTTGTAAACTATAAAGTGTAAATGAGAAATATTAGCATTACTGTTATTATCATACCCTTCCAAGTCAGAACCTATTTCCTAGTCGCGAGACCATGTATATAAGGTTGTTCAAATGGGAAATCCATTTGCTGAGATGAAGAATCTGCTGCCTTGGATTATGCTGAGGCAGACCTGACTGTAAGGGCATTTTAAATATTTGTGTGGGGTCCTCCGTTAAGAGCAGTGTTTAAAGCCCGTGTGTGTGTGTGTATGTGTGGTGGGGTGCATGAACTAGGGAGGGATGCAGATGTTTCTGGGATGTATATTCTCTGCCCCTAGTTCAGGGCCTCCTCCCAACCAGGCCCAGGTTCACCTTTGTTGGCAAGAACCAGGCTTATAACTGTGCCATCTCTTACCATCTTTCTCTTGCATTGTCCCTTCCAGAGCCATGATACCTTCCATACTACACACACACTCTCTCTTTGCCAGGGTCCCACAGGTCACTGGGAAGGAAGGTAACAGGGGCTGGGCTGGGCTTGGCTTGGCTTGGCTTGCCTAGCCCTGCCTAACTACCTCTGCCCCAGGCTTCTTTGCTAACCCACCAGGTCTCAAAGCTGTCCCTCCTCAATGGGCTATGCTGCCTTGGCTTAGGACCACAAGCATTTACTAGGAGAGGTGGCACAGAAAGCAAAAGGGACAGACTATGTAGCTTGCATAGGCTGGGGCTGCCTTTCCTCAGTGTTCCTGCCAAGAAAATGTCCCTGCCAAATGCAGGGCCCCTCAACCCGCAGGCTTCTCAATCAGTGTGGCTAAGTTTCAGGTGGACTGGTAAGTAAAGGAAACTCTTCCAAGTACTCTGTGGTTCCTGATAGTCTTCACTTGCTGCAGTTGCTGCTATCATGGCAGGAAATTAGCTATAGTTAAAAATGGTAGGGTCACCTCAGCTCTCAGGGCCAGCTGCAGGTCATTTTGGGACAAGTGAAAGGTCAGCTACTAGGACAGAACTTCTCCCCTCAACTCAAAATATAGGCAGGAGACCAGCCACAAAC